TGCAAGACTGCACGGCGTCAGAACCCCGAAGACCGCAGTCAGCAGTTTACGGACACCCCAGTCAGCGATGTTCCGAGCTCGTACCACGTCGTTTTCCGCCCAATCTATAAAAGATGAACACGGAGCATAAACTTTTACGCGCGAGTCATATTTTTCAATTGCGCTAGAGAGAAGAATGCATGGGGTTTGGCTGAATCCTCTTTATATTTCCCCACAGGCACCGCATGCCCCGCCATATTTCTACAGATTCCTGACCAACACAACAGCCGCATGGGGAGAAGACACGACATAATTTCGATCTTTGTGTCCCGGATATTCGGCTTCCTCCTCAGGTCCGAGACATCGGCGTACTTCCTGTGATCATACCCACGGATTTCACTGCAGCCATTGGGCTGGATTACGATGTGGGCGGACAGGAAGAAAGAACGATGTTTCTAAGAATGAGGGGAAAGTGTGGAGATGACATGGAGACAGATATGAACAGAGAAGCGAACCGTAGGGATAAATATGTGGAAGACAATCTGACTGACAGGTCACGGAACCTGACACCTGCGACCTGAAGCATCGTTTTCCAAAGCCCTGCAGCCGTATCGACAGCCTTATCTCGCTGTGACGAAGGTTCCCGATGTCTCACGGTTCGGATACCACTTCTACGTGACATACATTCACGCCATTCTGAGCTACGGGTCACTCTTGGTCAAGAGACACAAAACTGAAAGCGTACAAAATGCAGACTTTTGAAGTCCTAATTAACCTTTTTCGGTCTTTGCAGCCGAAATGTGTCTAAATAATACATCGCATAAATTCAGAGCCTACCGCAAACACAACGGATCTCCATCACGAAGTTCAATCAGTTGACGTTGTTTAAGCCGTTTACGCATTCTGACGATCACGCGAAATCTATAATTCAGTTGCTGAGCGATGAAGCAGGTTAGGTTATGTGGTTCCTGAAGGATGACGGGGAAGCTGCAACTACACCATCCACCCACTTTAATGCTCAAAAGTTTCACGCCGGATGTAACGGCAGTGTGGTTAGCATTCCTTCGTATGCGGCAGGCCCCGATTTCAAACCTGGAACATTCTTTCCAATTCATTATTCGTCTTCATCGTTTCTTTATTTTAATCTGAAGTGCCGACGGTGTCGTTAAATAAACACAAGCAGGCGAAAGACTGTGTCGGAAACTGTATTTAACCCCACAAATATTTAATAAATTATATTTTACGCCTTGATGTAAAGTGACAGGCAACATCTGTCCAAATAACTCTTAGCCAAGTTTTAGTACGGACGCCAGCCAGAAGATTTCACAGAAATCCTTTCATCCAAAGCGGTGTT